GCCGTAAGATGTAAATATCTGTCGGCACATACATCCTGGAAAGTCAGAGAGTGATTATGCCCTGAGTTCTGGAATAATAGTTATAAGGCAAAGCTGGTGAAATGCCCCTGAAAGCTCAAGTATTTCGTCAGATACCCTAAAAGGGATAGATATGGCTTAATGCGCCTACGACAATAGTAAAACTTTGCGAAACACACTGCTCGCCAATTGGACCTGCCGTCTTTTGCATATACCCCTACCGGCCCCTGGGTAACTTGTTTATACAGCTGGGTATTTTAGGCCATTGGACCCTGCAGATTCCAAAAGAAATGCACGACCTTCCTGCAGCCCAGGGCCAGGGCATGATGCATGATGGCCCACTGTAAATTATGTGCCAGAAAAGTGGTGGGGTGGAGTTGAGTGTGAGGATCGGGAACTGTGCGCTGCCAGGTGTTGACTTGCCCAGGGTGTGATGGGGTGAGCTGGGGTGGAGTGAAGTCTGAGGACCAAGTGAGGCCAAATTTTAAATTTACAGTGCCCTGTCACACATCACTGACATCAGCAAATCTGAGGGGGGAGACGTGGAAAGGAGGGAGTGAAAAAACGACATTGTTTGGCAGGGATCCAGAGTGGGGTTGGGGGTGAGAGGGATGAGGTCAAGGGAGAGAGAGGGACAGTAGAGAGGAGGGGGAGGATATGGCGCATGACTGGTTGGCGGAGTCTCAGGAGATGGCCAGGGGATTGGCTGACGACATCTTTAGCCAGCCCAAAGAAGTCATCTCTTGGCCGTGGACATGGGACTGCAAGGCAGCACATTTTTGCAAGTTATATACAAGGCTGGCGGTGTTCTAATAAAAAATGTATAGTGTGGATGAGCGCCACATAACAGCGTGATCACGGACTTGTCGTTCAACTTGTTAAACCACCAGTACTTCCTGAAGTGGGGCCCGTTGACAAGCCACGCCGCCATGGCTTTAGGGAATGTACGCGTCACTACAGGAGCGCCCAAATTCATCCGACTAGAAACATTTCTACTCTATTTTTTCCCACGGCGGATAGCTGGGCCAAGTACTGGTGGTTTAATTCAATATCTCATCTGCATAACATAGGTACAATGTTGTCGACAGATGTTTTAACTTCAGTACGAACCATTATTGTGCTCACACACTTTCTCCGTCTGCATTCCACCGAGTCTGTTTAATCCCTACATTATTGTATGATTCAATGATGCGGAAAGAAACCTGTCCGTGTGATGAAATAGTTCGACCAAATTCGCAAGCCTGTCTTTTGCTTGATGCTCATTAAACTGCCAGTAGTACCTGTCCCAGCTATCGGCTGCACCAAGTTTTGGCGGTGCATCTGGCTGCCGCCCGGAGGCCAAGTGCGTGTTAACCGGCGCGAAACGGCAAAATGGCTGGGGAAGGTACTGGTGGCTAAACGTGTGATGCCCTTTAGCGGTTATATTGCACTTTTGTATGGGTAATGTATTTGTAGATTTGACTGGTAGAGTTTCGTTCTTCTGATTCGTTAAGAAGCACGTATACTAGAATATATGTTACTAGAATATACTCCTAGACTGTACTAGAATATATTTGCATCTTCCGCCGGCGGACATAGTGTTTGAAGATTTTTTTCGGGGCACAGAAACAAATGACACACAGATGACAGCTCCTCTTCTTGCTATCCTTTTCCTTTTCTTCCTACGGTTGTATGCTGATGACAGACAGCCTTCCGATGAAGGAAAAAAAGGGTTGGTTCTCTTAGTCTGGCTCAGAAGATGGAACAACTGACGGGGAGGCGCATGCGATGACCACCTGAGGCCTCAGTCCGGTTGAAAAACGGCCCTTACACTTCCCGTTAAAGCCCCTAAATCCCCCTGCATGCAATCCCTGCACAACCAGCACCACCCCACCAACGGCCCCCGTCGCAGGAGCCCCTTACAGGCCGACTTTAATACCCCTTAGCACACCCTTTGCGTTCAATACCACATGGCTTCCCCCTCATGCATCACACCCCAGCGCACTCCCCTTATACCCCTCACCCCTAAATTTTAATTAACACCCCTTCACCCACTTCAACCCCTGTCAACCGACCCCCCCTTATACCCCGTTCATACCGTGGTTATACCCCACACCCCTCAGCACACCCCTTATGACAACCCCCTAACCCCCACCTCATTTTTTTTCGAGGGCTGGGGTGCAGTTAAGGGAGTTCCCCTCCCCACGTGAACGTCCACATTGAAGTGGACAAAACTGGTGTGGTGGGCACTTTTGTCCCACCACCAGAGGAGCCAGAACAGACAAGTCGGTATCATGAGCACCCCCCCCCCCCCCCCCCCCCCCCCCCCCCCCCCCCCCCCCCACCTACCAACCTTTTCCCAAAACAGCCATGGGCGGTTTGGCCTGTTTTGCCCGATTTATCGGTACTCACTTTGTGGCCCAACACAACGGCAGGAACAGGCCTTGAGGGCCAAAAAAAAAACCTCCCACTTGAAAAACCATAAATTTGGCATAAAACACAAAATGCAAGGAACATGAATATGGACGAAGCACAGAAATCCAGAATGCAAAATCACACTGAAGTCCAAGTAGTCAAAGCCAAAGCAGATAGCACATGGAACCGAGTAACCATCCCATTGAGAATGATACAGAAGAATTGTGAGTCAATGTCCATGCCCAACAGGGCAACACCAACAGCATAACCCAAATGTAGCTCTCTCTTGTGAATGGCGCCATGCGCCCTATCTACTCTACAGCCTAGCCTACAACTACAGCAATGAAAGCAACCAGACAACTTGACTACCAGCGAGTGATGATGTCAACACCAATGCCGACTTCCACCTCCACCAAGTACGTGTCCTCTTCACCCACACTCTCCCTTGTACCCACACAGTGCCCTTCACCTCCGCAGAACCACCTTCGCCCTCACCTCCCCTGCACCCTCATGCGGCCCGGCTATGGCCGCCAGTGCCCTGTCTGCAGGCAGCGCCCTACCGCCTAGCGCTGCCCTGCTGCCCTCAGCCTTAGCGCAGCGCAGCATGCATGCAACGCAGCAGCGTGCCGGCCTTGCTCGCAATGGCCAAGATTTTCTGCCCACTCGCCCTGCTTGCCTATATGCCCGTGCAGCGTGTGGGCGGCCTCCCTTCAGCCTGTGACCGGGACCCAGAGGCTGAAACCAGCCCGATACAGTTGGGCCCCGGGGCAATGCAGTTGCGCCTCCTTCATCAAGGCCTGCGGCCAGATTCAGATAGTGGGCCGATTTCCCTTTAGCATTTTCGGCCTCTATACCCAGCATGCATTGTCGGCCTCACATTCGAGTGCCCAGGGCCTAACTAACTCAGAGGCCCTAGGCTTTCAGCATTTGCTGAAATTCGAGACTCGGTGCACTCCAACCAATTGGCGTGCTGCAACTGTATGGACCCCACTTTGTGAAATGTTGGCACAAAGGGCTCTTGTTGATTTGCTGGCCCGCCTTCACTTAGGGCGGGCACGGGGCTTGCTGGGGCCTTAGCCTTGAACATGTACATCATGGCAAGGCCCCTACTTGAGGGCTCAATCCTCACATTCCATCCCCCTTAGCTTCGAACGTCCGCTGAGATGCTTACTTTGCAGGTGCCTTCCCTTTCAGTAGCCTCTCATATTCTGCCACCATGTGAGGAGCTGTCTCAATCAGTTCCTCCCTGGTAAACCATCGATCTTCTTTCGGATCCGTATGATGCCTAAATCTGACGCAGTACTCTCTCTCGGGCTTAGGAGGTCTTCCTCGACCCAGCGGCTTCGGAACAGGCATATCCCTGTGATCCACAATGTCGTCGATGTCCACTTGTCCATCCATGGTTGGGGGCAGCATCGATCTCCTGGAAGGGAATTGATCTGTCTCAGCGAAAGGTGCAAGCTTTGAGGCATGAAAGACTGGGTGAGTGCATAGGTGTCCAGGGACACGAATGACATATGTGGGACCATCCATCTCATCTCCCACTCTATCCAGGACTTCCCACGGACCAAAGTACTGAGGCATTAATTTGCGAGAGATTCCGAACTCCTGTCCTAACTCACTAGCCTTGACCCAGACTCGTTCCCCTACTTGAAATGCGGATTGTCTGCGATGTTGATTCTTAGAAGCAATCATTGCTTGCTGAGCTTTCTTCATATGCTCAACAGCCTCTTGCAGCAACTTCTCATACTGCACACCATACTCTAGTGTGCCTGAAGTTGTAGCGGGTCGGTTTTCAGGTAGGAGGAAGTCTAGTGCTGATCTAGGCTTCCATCCCAAGTGCAACTAATTAGGACTTACGCCGGTACTACTATGGATAGCATTGTTGTATAAGCTGGCGATGAGTGGCAACTGCTCATCCCAATCATCTTGGCTGGGCTTGATGTAATGCCCGCAGCAAGTGCTGTACAACTCTGTTCCTTTGTTCGACTTATCCGTTGGCTTCGGGATGATTCCCTGAAGTCATTTGAAGTTGACTGTCCATCTGTTCTGCAGTCTTCTTCCACAATTCACTTGTGAATGGAACATCTCGGTCACTAACGATTGACTGTGGTAAACCAAAGTCACGCACCCAGTTGTCTTTGAACAACTTAATGACGAAGTCAGTTCTTGCGGTCTTTGGCATAGCCACTAGTCTAGCGTACTTAGTGAATCGGTCGATGATGACGAAGATGTGCCTCTTGCCACTCTTACTAGTCACCAGGGTGTCCATGAAATCCATGGAGACACTCTGTCATAGACCAGCAAGGATAGGCAAAGGCTTCAACAACCCAAGCGGTGCTTGAGTTTGCGGCTAATCCCGCTGACAGACCTAACATGTCTCTACGTACTTCTTTGCGTCATCAAACATACCTGGCCACCAAAATCGCTGTACTAAGTTAGCACTCGTCTTCTTGTAGCCAAAGTGCCCAGTCGCGTCGTGACATTCGCCTAAAAATAAACTACACAAGGGCTCACTAGATGGAACTACTAACCTTTTTATTCCTGCCTTATCAAGATAGAGTAACCAGTCCACCATCCAAACTCACTTTCCGTGGCCTTGTCTTTTTCCTGAAGCTTGCGAATGATGTCCATCGTGACAGGGTCTTCGTGATAGGTTCCCACCAATGATCGAGTTACTTCTTCAGATATGCCAAAGTCAGGAACTAGCGCACCCAGGTAGTCTGCTCTACGTGATAGTGCATCAGCAACCTTGTTATACTCTCCCTTGAGGTACTCAAGCTTGAAGTCATATTGGTCTATGACCTCAATCCATCGCTTGAGGGCGTCAGAAAGAGCTGGTTGAGTCTTGATCCATATGAGGGTCTGATGATCAGTCCTCAAGTAGAAGAACCTTCCTAGAAGGAAGTGTCTCCAATGGACTAGTGCTTTGTACAGAGCATAGAGTTCCCTCTCGTAGGTGGACTTTGCCAACTTCTTTGATGACATCTTCTTGCTCATGTACTCAATCGGTCTCAACTTTTTCCCATCGTGCTAAGCCAGCACTGCGCCAATGTCGTATTGGCTTGCGTTATGCTTTAATCTCTCGAAAGCACCCTCGCACTCATCACTCTAGTCCCACGGTGTGTCAAGTCGAGTTAGATCAGTCAAAGGAGAGGCGACTGTAGAATAGTTATTTACGAAGTTCCTATAGTAGCCGCACATTCCTAAGAATGATCTGACCTCAGCGACTGTCTGAGATCGTGGCCAGTCTCGAATACTAGCCACCTTAGCATCTTCCGGCCTAATTCCCTCCCGCGGATACTTCATGACCCAAGTATAGTATCTTGGTGCGACCAAACTCGCACTTCTCTAAGTTGACCTTATACTTGTGCTGTCGCTGGAGTGAGAGTACCTTCTCAACATGTTGTGTGTGCTCCTCGGCAGACTTACTAAAGATTAGAATGTCGTCTAAGTAGACCACGGCAAACTTATCTAAATGGTCATGGAAGATCCGATTCATAGCGTGCTGGAATATACCCGGCGCATTGCAAAGACCGAAAGGTATCACTACGAAATCATACAGATCATAACGAGTCTGAAAGCTGTCTTGTGTTGGTCCTCAGGTCTTATTGCGATCTGGTGATATCCGGATTTCAAGTCTATCTTGCTATAGTACTTGCATCCCTGCACCCTATCCAATAGGTCGTCTATGCGAGGTAAAGGCTCTGCGTTCTTCACAGTGATGGCATTGAGGCCTCTATAATCAATGCACATCCTCAAAGTACCCCCCTTCTTCGGTACAAATAGTACGGGTGATCCGTAAGGGGAAGTACTAGGCTGAATCCAACCCTTCTCTGTCAGCTCCTTAAGCTGTCGCCGAAGTTCATCTAACTCGGCGGGGGACATCCTATAGATCCTTCCCTTTGGGGTCTTACTCCCTGGAATGATTTCTATAGCGTGGACGACTTCCCTTTCAACAACTCCTGTGGGCTCCTCGAACAGATCAGGGAACTTAGCAACGACGCGTTCTATCTCTGGGGGTATTTTTACGGCCTCCCCCTTCTCAGAGATATAAGCAAGGTACATACCCTCCTCTTCGTTTTGCTTGTAGTAATTGTAGAATGCTGATGCGCACAAGCAGCCATATGTACCTATTATACTACTGGCCTTGAACTTAGTCAATCTGACAGTTCGGCCATCGGGCAACTTATGCTTGAGCACCTTCTTATCCCAGTCGAACTTGGGCTTAGCAACTTCGAGGTAGTACATGCCTAATAACATGTCAAATGGTAAGTCGTCACTAACCAAGAACGAGATCTTATGGTTAAGCTCACCTTCTCCATAGGAGAAGGTACAGACTACGTCCTTGATGTAGTCTGTTACAATCATGCGCTCCTTGTTGGCCAAAGTAGATGCTACTGGTCTACTAAGGTGCCGTACCCGGTCCTGTAGGTGCAGCCTTTCCAAACAGTCGCGACTTATGGCATTCCGCGTGGAGCCTATGTCTATGAAGGCACCACATTTGCGACCTCCTACATCGACCTCCACCACGAAATGTTCCCCTCTAGAACCTTTCCTCAGCGCCACCCAAGACTCACGAGGGTCTATGTTTGACCACTCACTCTCTAAGCCTTCTAAGGCTTCAGACACATCTAACGTACAGAGCATAGTTTGGTCTAGTTGTGTCTGCGGGGTGACTAAGGGGTCATTAGGCTTGGCCTTGTCATGAAGTGGGGAGGGTATCAATCCCACTTCATCTTGAGTAGAAGCAACTATTACTTCCACTGGATCACGTGTTTCCCGAGCTAGAAGCGTGGGAGTAAGTTGACCCCATCTTTGGAGCAACCTTTTGCGTAACCTTAGCGTTATGGCACTTGTACTGCGAGTGCCCGTATTCCCCGCAGTTGATACAAGCGCCACGCGTTCGGCGGTCACGCCACACGTCTTGATCAAGACCTGCCTTAATCCACTCAGCCTGTTTGGTCTGATTGGAGGCGGTCTTTCCTTGACCCCTAGGTCGGCCCTTCCCCCGGCCACCTGCCTTAGTTTTTACTACCACGGCGAGGGTGCTACCCTCAGCTACCTCCTCACCGTCATACTCTGAATTGTCCACCAGGTCAGAGAGTTCGTCGATCTCAGTTTGAATCCATCAGACTCAACAATCATCAACTTTGCTCCCTTCTTCTTCAACTCCTGAGGACTCTTCTTCTTCTTTGAGTTATTCTGTGAGGTGGGTTGAGCATTGCCTAGAGTGGCCTCCAAATCTAAAGCCTTCCTAGACAATGTCTCAAACGAATGATACTCTGTGCGTGCCTCGCTGGCCAGCAAGTTCCTGATGTTTTCTTGCAAACATCTAACAAACGTTGTTAATAGGAACTGGTCACTGTAGTTGATGTCTGGGACGAGGATCAGGCTCTCAACGGTAGTCCTAAGCTCTCTAACTGACCTGAACTTCTGTTGGTCTAGTTTGTTAATGGCATCAGTGGCCTTTTGTGACTCCTGTGGATTATGCCATCGAGCTTCTACCATTTCCATGAACTGGTCTAACGTCAGAGACTTAGCCCAGTCCGCCATGCGTCGCCCGTACCCGACCCTTACAACTACTCCATCTAGCCACTTGGTTGCCTTACCCTCAAGGTAGGATGCAGCAGTTACCACTTCGTCCTCAGGCAAGGTCCTCTTTGCCTTCACCCAAACCGGGACCGTTCTCAACCATGTGTTGAGTTCCTCGTCCTTTCTCTCGCCTGAGAAGGCAAGAGGCGGTTTCATCGGGGTCTTAGGATACCATTGACCTTGCTGCTGTCCCTGTGGTGGAACAGGTTGTTGCGGTGATGTAGCAATCATTGTTGGACTCGAAGAAGAAGATGCAACAGTCTGTGAGGCTGTTGGAGACGTACCACTTGGCTGTGTACCAGCTTGAACTGGAAAGGGGCCTGACATCGCCGATAACGGCAACGGCGATTGTGCTGGTGGCCTGAATCCTAGCCTTGTCAAAACGTCGAGGATCTGGTCCATAGTGCTCTGCATGAAGTCCAACCTATTGTCCACGTATGCATGCAGTGACAACATGTTCTTCCTCAACACTTTCATGGGCTCATTCATTCCTGAACCATCTAAGCCCTCCAACTCAGCTTTGTCAGCCTCTAGAGTTTCAAGCCTGGCTGTTCTTTTTTTAATCTCCCTTTCTCTGTCGGTAGCTTCCTTCACATCCCTCTCTAACTGTTCACGGATCCTTTCGACCTGTTGGAGCTCTTTAATCTCCCTCTCACGTGGGGTCAACGGGCTGAACTGCGAGCCCGCCGTTTGACTTGTAGACTTTCTAGAACCCATTGAACTGGAAGTGCCCGTGGACCCTGTTGGCATTCCAAACCGAGGTCCAGATGAGAACGCAACAGAAGTTGCAGCGGAGGATGCTGCTGCAGAAGACATGGCTGCTGCCCTGGCTGTTGCTGTAGCCTGTTCCCTAGCTGCAACGTTTGCTGCCTCTCTCGATGCTGCGAGGGCACGGGCTCTGCGTTCGGCACGAATGCGTCTTTCGTCTTCCGGTTGTAGGGCCTGGAACACGTGCGGGATCCTAAGTGATCTAGCACGTGTTAGTCTAGCATCGTCAACTCCACCCTCATCGGGGTCTAATCCCCTCATGAGTTAGGCAAACATTATCTGCACTAGAATCCCCTAGTGGAATCCTACCACAACATGTGTCTGACCGACACCTAATTTTCTAACAATAGTTTTGTCCGACAGGTCACCTACTGTACCGATCAAGTGGCACGTCTACAACATTCACACAGATTGTCTACATAGTCTAGATGCACTCTGATTGGTTCACTTACAACAGCACAAGATAGAACTGGCTATCGTAGTGTACTTCAGTCCTACTCTAATCTGTTTGTGAGGTGTTAGCGGTCTGTCCACCAACTAATCAAGAGTACAAAATGACCATGTAACAGATGTATGATTGATGGGTATGGTTGTGTATACAGTTGAGCACCAATTGGAATCTACCCTTCCCCTCAATCCAACCATCCAAACAGCATCATTGAGCAAAGCAGTGTTTTTGTGTGTGTATCGGCCCACCCCTGTGCCCAAGTCAGAGCCAAGTAAGCCAGCCAGCCCACCATTATTTACCCTCATACGGAAACGAGCCTTACACCTGGATGATCTGGCTGATCAGGAGGATTATTAAGAGCATCTCCTCAGGAATTCTTTAACGTCGCAGTCAGGGCAACGATCACAACCAGAATCATTCCGAGTACCCAACCAAAAATGTTTATAGACGGTCTGGTAAGCGTCTCATACAAGGCTGGTGTAGCGGACCCACCAGGTGTGGTGCTCTGCTAGTGACAGAGATGGAGATGGAGGAAGAAGGGGGAGCAAGATGGCACAACGCAGCTCCCCACGCAAGACTCCAACGCACGTACTCCAAAATGTGCAAGTAAGGAATGAGACTGAAAACAGACAATGGCTGGGGTATACCCCAGCGGACTGACGGGACTGGATTGGACTGGCTGGTATCGGCAGAGGTACCGGCCTGGACTGGCCTACCCCGAATATAACACAGGCCTGTGAGAAAAGGCCAAGGGGCTGGTCTAACAGGCCAACCCGAGGTCCGCTACACGATCCTCGGCCTGTGATGGTTCGCGTAGATACAAACATGCTTCCGCCAAGAAGCGGAACTCTACCAAAKAAAAGAAAACCTGAGTAGTCTAGGATGCGGAGCAAGCTCCATGCTGAGTCCATGCGATGCAACCTAGAATATAAAATGTCACAAAACATCAATGTCACAGCTAACAGCCTAAGTAAAAGTAGAAGCAACTAACTAACATACATGTCCTAGGAAAACAAAAAGTAGTGACAACTAGATCCTAGAATGTTGGAGGCACTAGCCTCAGTCTGGTAACAACTGACTAGTGTATAAGTCCTAAGAACAGCAAAAGCAGAACAACTAAATCCTAGAAACGTCGGAGGCAGTAGCCTCAGTCTGAGAGCAACAAAGCAATCAACAAGACAACCATATRTCACATGAKAAGTGTGTCGCACACCAAAGGGTGGGATGGTCTCTGAGGGTGGCAAATGCAGCCTAGGGGTCGAAAACTCCTAAGGGCATCCACACATAGTGACAGGGGAATACACATGTCATCAGGCTCAATGAGGATAGGGAACTGGGATCGAACAGAACCAATGACCCTAACAGATAGACCATCAGGGCGGGTAATGCTCGACTAAGGAATGACCGCTATGGAGGGTCGACCATGCAAGGGAACAAGGGAGCCTGGTATACTGGGCGCACCTAGATGAAGCATGCGGGGCTGCCTAACTAGGGCGTGAGGGCCGGCGAAGGGTAGAAAGATGATGGGTAAGGGAATCATGCAAATGACTYCWAAAGTGAGGGAMGTCKGAGCTAGATCCGTAAGATGGGAAGCCAGGGCAACGCTACGGTCCCGATGCCTATGCGTATACCAAGGGAGAGCCCAACTMAGAGGAACCCGGCTAAAGGGAGACCATCATGCGACACAAGCASGGTACTRTACAGGGTAGAGTGGTAAGAGAGTGGCAACGTCTGAAGTAGGCAGAGCTGATCGTGATGAAGTCCATGAAGCTGCCGATGACGTCCACGATGAGAAGTCCAGAATGTTGTCGAGGAAGAGCCGCAGCGTCGACGAGCTGAAGTAGCAAAACTGATGTGGATGAAGTACTGAGAAGTCAATGACGTGGGAAGGTAAGTCAGAGTCAATCGTCGTATCGAGCAGGACGACGACGAGTGCGATGTGGACGCTCAGAAGCATCCGGCTGCTGCTGAAGGTCTGCCTCAGATGGAGCAGGCTCAACTTCAGCGGTCTCCTCAGCCGGAGGAGAAGGAGGAGGGTCAGTGGGCTGAGGAGGAGCAGTGAACCCAGCACGACGAGCACGGTTATAGGCACGCACTAACATGCGAGCGTGCTGCAAGTGCTCGAGGGGCTCCCAGGTAGCCTCCTCATTAGGGTAACCCTTCCAACGTATGAGATACTCGACGTGGGGAGGGTTGTCGTCGGTGACTCGGCGACCAATGATGTTTGAAACGAGGAATTCCTCGTGGCCGTCCACCATGATAGGTGGAGGGCGCTCGTATGGTCGTCCAGCGAAACGCTCAGACGGTCTGCGGTAAGGACGCAGTAACGAGACGTGGTAGACATCATGCACACGAGCCTGGCGTAGGTAGTCGGGGAGCTTCACACGAAAGCTGACTGGGCTAGATGTCGTATTAGAACCGATGACCTGGAGGATGCGGCATGGGCCAAAGAAGCGACGCCGAAACTTGCGAAGCGTGTCCGCTTCGAGCTGTAAGTGGCGGGCGTCGATAAGCACATCATCACCGACCTTGAATGGGTGATCCATCCTCGATCGGTTCGCACGTGCTGCCATGCRAGTCTGGGAAGCGGCTATGTGCTCATGTGCGGTCTTTATAATCGATGTCATGTGTGCAACCCAATCATCCAACGCGGGACAACTCGTGTCGGGGTGCATCTGGGAYGGTCGAAGGAAGTCCGCGGGAACACGCGGGTGATAGCCGAGGTCGCAATAGTAAGGCGACA